TCTCAATACTGTCTGATGCAGGTCTTGGAATGGCCATGTTCAGTCTAGGTGCATGCTTGTCTCGACCCTTCAATATATTTTTTCCCTTTTTCTCCCACTTGTTAACTCTATTATATGTTCTCAAAAACATTTTGGTTGATTATATGGGAATAATTTATAATATATATAATTGATTTATATGTAAACAGGTCTATTCATGGCATTACAACCGAAGATCATCGCGTGTGGAAAATCTGTGGCAGCATTTTCTATGGCAGTTAGGTTCTTGACAGGTCCAGCTGTGATTGCCGCAACTTCAATAGGCACGGGACTCCGTGGAGTTCTTCTGCATGTTGCAATTGTCCAGGTGAAATGAAACCTTTCTTTGTTGATTAACAATTTTTTTACGTCAAAATTTATATAAATTTTTTTTATTAAAAATTATTAGATATTATAGGATAAAATACATTAATAATATCAAATGTTATGAATTTTAATAATTTTTTATGTGTTCAAAGATATTTATGAGAAAAAAGATCAATTATAATCAAAGTCTATTAATATTGTTATTCCTAGTTGTTTATGACGTGGCATTTATTGCAGGCTGCCCTTCCCCAAGGTATCGTTCCCTTTGTGTTCGCCAAAGAATACAATCTCCATGCAGATATACTTAGTACTGCGTAAGTCCCTTTTTTAATTTCTTTCCCCACTTACATCGATTTTTAATGTTATATAAAGATACAAAAGCAAATGATTTTTTCATTTTGAAATAACAAGTATTTTATTTTTTTAATAAAATCTTTTTTATCCTTAATTGTGCAGGGTTATATTTGGAATGCTGATTGCATTGCCCATAACAATACTCTACTACGTGCTTCTTGGACTCTAGTATCCTGGAAGGCAAAAGCAATTGAAAAGAAGTTTGATGCAGTTACTGTACGTACTAAGTAAATCAAAGTCAAGGTCAAGCAAAATGAATGAAAGGAAATGTAGAAGATATTGGATTTTAGAAAAGAAAAGAGAAATTATATATAGTATAGTAGAATGCTATATATATTAATTTATTATGATTCATATGAGAGTTTGGGTTTGATTAGATCTAAATTCCAGCCCACTCTTCATTCTCTCAATTTGTTAATGGAAAAATCTTTTAGTTAGGTAGGAAAGCAAGAGATTACAACCTGTGAGGCGCCACGCCTGAGGAATCAAATATTTTTATGTTATTTTTGGTAACACTGATATCAATGTAGCAAGTTGCTTGTTTTTAACTCTTTCGTGGCATGTTGATATCAAATCCAGTCTTGAAATTTATACACTTCTGCATTGTTATTTACTCCCTACATTGAACTTTGGGACCTCCCTAATGAGCTCAACTAAATGCTTCCTTCCAACCTTCCAGAAAAGAAACACGTTGAGTATTAATTTGAGATTTTAATTGTCGACAAAGTTGACTTTTAAAATTGCTTCCTTGATATTAAAACAAATACTGTAGTAATAAAGTTTGCTCAGAAAAAAAAAATCTTATCAATTTAACATAAGAATTTCAAGTGGAGATTTGAACGAGAAAGGGTAATCTTCACATAATATATCAGGCTTGGCTTATACTATTTCTATATTCAGAATTTTCTTTTATAAATCTTTTGTCAGATAAGCATAATGTTGTATGTATCAAGGAGGCTTAAACGTATGAATATTTTTTTAGGAAAGGAAATAACAGCAGTACTATCTATGCATTAATCTATATTGATAAAATACTCCAGAATATGAAAGTAAATAAAATCCATTTCTACCATGGTAATGTAATTGGCTTTTCAATAAACTTTTATTTTTTGTATGAATGCTAGAGTATATCTCAACTACGTTGTAGTCAATAAGTAGAAGATCAAAAGCAGGGTGGTTCCAGTGCATCGTTCCGCTGGTTTCCTTTTTAAAAATTGTTACTCTCCTTGGGATCTTGTTCAACATTACTGAACGTTCCATGTGACTTACGGATGAAAGTAAATAAAATCCATTTCTACCATGGTAATGTAATTGGCTTTTCAATAAACTTTTATTTTTTGTATGAATGCTAGAGTATATCTCAACTACGTTGTAGTCAATAAGTAGAAGATCAAAAGCAGGGTGGTTCCAGTGCATCGTTCCGCTGGTTTCCTTTTTAAAAATTGTTACTCTCCTTGGGATCTTGTTCAACATTACTGAACGTTCCATGTGACTTACGGATGATAAAGGGTTCTCATTGGAGCAAAATTCTCAAATTCATGTTACCTTGTTATTATAGGCCTAGTATTTGGGATGTTCCAAAAGTTTCATTTCTTAAAGTTTCAAGGAATTGTCTTGTTCTGAGTTACCCAATTCATGTCACAGTTAATTATATCCATTGAATGATGATAAGCCCCGACAACTTTGGCCATTAAAATAATCAACTCAATTTAAATTATACTTATATATAATGCTAATGGACATCAGAGTATGCGACATTAGTAGTATGTGACTACTTAGATGCTAGTACTAATATATATATAAAATTATTCGATTATCAGAAGAACGAAATTAATTTGATATCAATGTTGATGGGAAATCTAATCTCAAGTAAGTTACCATAACGAAAACCCATGTATTCGCCGATTTATTTGACATTAATTGTAAAAGACAAGTTAAAAAAAGGAGCCTGTGGACACAAGTTTGAGCATTACATACTCTGGTTGACCGAAGAAAGTTTCTTGGAAATGATAGACAGCTCTTAAAGTCATGTCAGCTGACAATTTGATTAAATCATAATCCCAAGTAGATACTGATGAATTTATGAGAGGTAATGAACAGAATCATTTATATTTGGAACATCACAAAAATATTCCATTAATCAAACTAATGAGATTAGATCAGAAACATCACATGTGCTTAGGTTCCTTATAATTTCATCTAGATAATATCCTCCTATTAAGATCAATATGTGCGTGTGCCACGATAGAATTTAAGAAACATACACCGTAATGATAGATTAAAAGAAAAATTGGTTTCTATATTAATTTATTTTGAGATTAACATGTTGTATTGGTCTCTGATCACGTGGAAGTCCAAAGGAGTGTCTTGTCTCTTTTTAATTTCCAATGTGGAAGCTAACAGATTGGAATTGGCAGCATTGCACATGAAGGTTGTCCCAGTTTCTGGTGCCTTTCAGACATTTCTTCAAATAAACTAATGAATTGAACAGTTTATGTAAACACTAAAGTGAACATAATGCATCCACTGACAGCAGGAGCTCTGGTCTGCGGGTGTTTGTGTGTGTGAATCAATTTTAGGCTAAGTGATGTGAATTGGATCTTGGTTGTGCTTTGTGCATTAACTGTGTGTTCCATCGTCAACGTCCCATATATCGAATTAGAGTTGAGTTCAGAAACAGCCATATTTCCTTAACAAGTGTCATCATCATGCCCAAGATATTATCATTGGTCTACAAATTCATTTTGCAACTCTCGATTTCAACTACCCTACAGTCAGCAAGATTAATCTAGCCACAAATAATATACTTAGTATATATAAAAAAAGTACTTATAAACCTATTCTTAAGTTTTTATATTGAAACTCATTGGAATGGGTGATTTCTCTTAATGTAAGAATAAATGAATGTGTTCAAGTGAATTTGTTAAAAGCAGTTGTCTTATTTATTCAAATTAACTAAATTGAAAATTGAAGTTTGAAGAATTCTGTATTTATATATAAAAAAATTAATATTAAAAGATGTAATATTTGATGATTGAGATTATAGAGTTATTTGAAATAATGTTGATAGCCATTCTATCATTTAAAATATAACTTCTAAAAATTAAAAAAATAAACTTAGTTCTTTTGAATAATTGAGCATGATTTTAAATTTAACAAATGAGTTTGATTGAATTAAGTAAAGTTTAAATAATTCATAAATTATATATGTAGTAGACTAATGTTTTACTTGACCTTTTTAGTCATATATAGAAATCTTCCGTTTCAATGCCGTTAGTTCTTTCTCCCGAACTACACTATTAGACCCAAAAATCTTAAAACACAGATATTTTATCATTTCAGCTTTACTTCAGCTTTTAGGTCCATTATTTTGACTCTTTAAGTATTTATATTTTAATGCAACATACAAGTTCAAACTCACCCATAAAGGTTATTCACTTTCTGGTGGATCCGTCCTAAAATTACCTACAATTTTTTTTTTTTGCTCATATGAAATTACCCACAATTACATACACAAATCATGCAATCATTTGACCAAAGCTGACTCAATATGAACCTAGGTTTGTCTTAGGGGAGTAAGAAGCCTTCTTTCAAGAAGAGTCACGCATAAATTCTAACTTATCAGGAGCTTATATCAAGATTTTCTTCAAGTAATTTACTTTTTCTTGTGTAGAAAAGGAGGACGCTATATGGATTATTGAAAAAAAAAAACAAAAGAACCAAAGTCACTAAGCAATCTCAGAGAACCAAAAACTAAATAAACCATTATTCCAGAGCATTTGTAGGCTTCAGAACCCATTCTACTTTAAATATACTAAAAGAATGTTAATAGCATATTCTTTTTGGTATACTATTTATTAGAAAGAAAATTTCACGTGAGACATACTAAATTATGTGAATCTCACACATTATTCAGTAAAGTCTAAATAAAATTTTTTCAAATATAAAAAAGTGTTAAAAAAACATATCAAAGAAGATATTAGACCAGTTTTGGGACATAGTACCAAGAAATTTCATACCAACTGACGAGGCCATTTTTACTGAATGAATAATGGGGAATTGCTAGAAATCACGATAGGTGTTTCCTAAAACGGTTTTCGTTAAATTTCTTTGTACTATACAGCAATTTTCAATGTTTCATATTAGAAAGTATTGTTCGGAACTTCCAAAATAGCACATATCACACCGTGAATTGGTGCTTACATGTTGTTTTAAGTTGATTGAACAAGATTTACAAGCAATAAACCAAACCTTGAAAACCAAAGAAAATAATTCAAGATACTAACGTAGTTTGTTCTCCAAAATCACACACACACACATATGTATATGCTAAGAAAAGGCATCGTGCTACAAATTATAAATTAAGACTGCATAGTTCCACTCTTGCTACAAATAAAATTGAGGCCAACCCTCTTTCTCCATAATGAAATGTAGCAAATTGAAAGCCAAATAGTAGTTTTGTTCTGTTACAATTACAAAATGTAACAGTAGCTAAAATTCTAAAAGCCAGAGAAAACTGTAACTCCAGAGAAGAATCCAAGAAAGAATTCATTTACAGATGAATGAGTTCTAACTCGAGCAGCACTTGCCTTGTGCGATAGAACCATGTATCATACTACATGTTTAATATTAAATTATATTTGACATACTACTATCAAGCATCAAAACCAAAATGGTTAGAAGTAATCTACAAAATCATAGAAAAAAAGGAAAAATGCTTAGTTAATAAGTGTCATATAATCTCGTGTAATGATGCAGTGTTGATAATTTTGCTAAACGGATTCTGCATTATAATGTCCGTTATGGGAACTGCCATTTTCTAGGCCAAGTTTAGATTTTGGTAAAAGGGAGGCCTGACGTGGAAAAATCTTCGTTGATTGCTGCTTCAGATTAAGGAAAGTGTAAACAGACATGCCAGCAATAGCTGTGAATGCCCCACAGATACTGATTATCCCAGGATTGGATCCAAAGAGATAATAATTCCCCAGTAAGATAATGCATGTCTTAAACTGCCCAAGAACAACATGCGAGGTGGCGGACGTAGCACTGTAAATTGCAAGGGAAAAAGAGAGGAAATATATTAAGAAACTAACCAGCAAAAGCAAAGTATACCGCAATGTTATATAAATGTAATACCAAAACAGCAACCAAAAATATGCAATTAATAAACTTCATTATTTGGTTTTGCATTTGTAATGCAATGCTATGTCGGGGAACTTTCTAAATCATCTAACATTAATGTTGTCACAAGCTTTTCACACTTATGCAGCTGGCCACATAGTGTTGTTATTACAAGCATAACCATTAAAATATGCAATGTCTACAAACTTTTCTTGAAATTCTTAGCACATATAGGATCACTCTTTTAGTATATAGCAAGAGGATTAGCTAGTTGACTGCCATACTACTCAAATGTGCAACTTCCTTACATAATTTAGCTCATTGATATCGTTGATTTTGCAAGGAATTTAGAACAATCTATGACTTGGGAGTAAATATCAAGCTGAGACTCAACTTATTGGGTCTCTAAAGAGGGATAAGCTATATACTAATTATAACATGTTAATGGCACATAAAGAATATAAAAATAATTGAAATAAATCATATAAGTAGATCATAATAATAGTGATTTGGACCCATGACTTGTTGAAAGGGAAATTCAGCTATATTCACAGAAGAAACAAAATGCAGCCAAAGGCTTTTTGACACAACTCTGTCAGCTGACATATAAAGCTAATTCCTCATCAACAATGAAAAGAGATTCACACCTAACTTTTAAGTTTTGAAATAGTTATTGTGACCAGCATTCTTCACACCCAAGAATAAGTACCATTATGAAAGCTAGCTAAGAAAATTTTAGTGACCTCTTTATGTTTGGCACATTGGAGGTCAGGTCTGTCTGAAATCAACATTAAATTGATAAAAAAGAAAAAAACCTAGTAAAATAATAAATAAGTGGTTCCTCTATCATTCTACCTGAAACTGAAATTGGAATTTTTTTACAGACATATTCAACAATTAAAAAGAATAATGCTTGTCCCTTACCCTAGTGCTAAAGCACCAGACCACTGAAGCAAAAATCCAAGAATAGCTGATGCAAGTATCACTGATGTGTTACTGAAGTTCCAGTCAAAGGAAAGTACACCGGGAGGGTCTAAGCATGGTAACATAGCAGCCAAAAAAATTAAAGTAATAGGTGTTGTTTTCCACATCAACCTGTTGATCAACCCACAAATTAGGCAGTAAAGAGAAAGAAATTTTGTAATGTAAATCAGCTCTAGGAAGTCAGAGAGAAGATCAGAGTAACATAATATTGTTAATGTGTAATTTATTACCTGTTTTTAATAGGTTTATAGCTGTATTATTTTATACCTTATATATATCCAAGCTGTTAGGAAATCTCCTATAATCTCTTCCTTCCCTGTATATCTCCTAGGAAATCTTTTATAATCTCTCCCTTCCTTGTATAACTCCTGCAATCCCTCATCTCCTTGTTAAGCATATATCTTGCTCTCTCATCTCCTTATAAAGCATATATCTTGCTGTCTATTTAAGAAAGAAAGGCCGCAGAAGGCAAACAAGTTTCTCCAAAACAAAAACTCTTGTCATATTGTAAAATGTTTTCTGGTCTCTTGATATCTTGACATGGTATCAGAGCTGCAACTTTGAACCGTGGTCAACTCTTGTATTCTGGTCCATAAAAAAAAGTTATTCTTGTCTTGTGATCTTGAGGGTATCTTCGTGACTTATCTTCTTGGGTGATCTGGAGCAAGCAAAGTGATTTGCAATCAGGTTTTGTTTTAAAGACTGTGCCCTCTGTGCAATTTCCTAGGCTTCTGGTTTTGTTGTTGTTTCCGTCATTACTTCAAGCGTTGAACTTTATTACTCCATCATGTCTTATGATAAGTCTGATTCCTTTCTTGTTCGATTTAATGGAAAAAATTATTTTGCTTGAGAGCTTCAATTCAAATTATTTGTTAAATGGAAATATTTATGGGGTCATATTGATGGAAAAAAAAAAAACAGCACCTACAAGTCCAGAGAATTTGGCAAAATGGAAAATCAAAGATGCCCAAATCATGACCTGGATACTTAGCTCTGTTGAGCCTCACTTTATTCTTAATCTGAGGCCCTATAAAACTGCTAAGAAAATGTGGGATTATTTGAAAAAGGTTTATAATCAAGAAAATACAGCTAGGAGGTTTCAATTGGAATATGAGATGGCCAATTTCACACAAGGGAGTCTCTCAATTGAGGAATATTTTTCTAGTTTTCAAAATCTTTGGACTGAATATTCAAACATTATTTACGCTGGTATCTCTGACGAAGCCCTCTCTGCTGTCCAAAACGTGCACGAGACCAGCAAGAGAGACCAATTCTTGATGAAGTTACGATCTGATTTTGAAGTCATTCATTATAATCTATGAATTGCAACCCAGTACCAGCTTTGGATGCTTGCTTAAATGAACTTCTTTGAGAGGAACAACGCATAGCAACTCAAGCAGCCATGGAACACAAAACCAATACTAGTGCTCCTGTTAATGTGGCCTATGCAGCACAAGGAAGGAATAAGAGCAGAGATATGCGTTCTGTCCAACGCTACAGTTGTAAAGGATTTGGTCATATTGCAAAGGATTGCCCACAAAAATTCTGTAACTACTGCAAGCAGTGAGGGCATATCATCACAGCTTGTCCGATTCGACCTGAAAGGAAGCAAGGAACTGCTTATCATACCTCTTTTGGTGTCTCTAGTTCTACTACATTGCCTTTTTCAACTTCTGTTCCTACACCTTCCGCAAACACACTTACTCCTGAAATGGTACAACAAATGATAATCCTAATTTTCTGCCTTTGGACTCTTAGGTAATCCTAATTTTTCTTCTAAACCTGGGTACCTTGATTCTAGAGCTTCTAACCATATGACCAATTCTTCTGTCTCTTTCCAATGTGCAAAATTATGATGGAAATCAGAAAATTCAAACTGCTAATGGCAACTCTTTGCCTATCAGTGCTATTGGTGATATTTCCCCTTCCTTGATTGATTTTGTGTCTCCCAAAATTTTCACAAATCTTATTTCTGTTGGTCAATTGGTTGATCATGATTATAATGTCCAATTTTCTCGTTCTAGCTGTGCTGTGCAGGATCGAGTGTCCAAGAAGATAATCCTAAAGGGACCTAAAGTGGGACGACTCTTTCCACTACACTTATATTCTTCCACTTATATTCTTCCACAATTTATCCTACCCATCCTTTACTTTCTCTAGTCTGTATTGATGATAGACAAATAAATAAAATGTGGCATAATTGTTTAGGGTACCCAAATTCTCATATACTTAGTACCTTGCTAAAATCTGGTTCATTGGACAATAAAGATTTTTCTGTTCCTTTTGATTGTACTACATGCAAACTTGACAAAAGTAAAGTTTTACCCTTTTCCAATAATGCATCTCGTGAAACCCATTGTTTTGACATTATTCATAGTGATGTTTGGGAGATTTCACTTGTTGTTTTTTATGCATGGTGTAAGTATTTTGTTACTTTCATAGATGACTACAGTCGATTTACTTGGGTATACTTTCTTCGGTCTAAGGCAGAAGTTTTCTCTATTTTTCAACATTTTGTTACACTTCTTGAGACTCGATTCTTTGCCCACATAAAAATCTTAAGATCTGATTCTGGAAGAGAAGATATGTCTAATGAATTTCAAAGTTTTCTTCAAAATCAAGGGATCATATCTCAGCATTCTTGTCCATCCACACCGCAACAAAATGGTGTTGCTGAAAGAAAGAATTGTCACCTTCTCGATGTCGTAAGAACATTTTTGCTTGAATCATCTATTCCTCCTCGGTTTTAGTGTGAAGCACTATCTACTGTTGTTCATTTAATAAATCGGTTACCTTCTCCTACATTACAAAATGTTTCTCCTTTTTTTAAATTGTTTGGGCATGCTCAATAATCTGATCTTCTCACTTTTTGTTGTGTTTATTTTGTGCAACTTCCTACTCATGATCGTAACAAATTTACTACCTAATCTATTAAGTGTGCCTTTTTAGGATATGCTATTACTCAAAAAGAGTATGTTTGTTATGATCCACAATCCCGTCGTATTAGAATTTTCAGGAATGTGATTTTCTTTGAAAATCAATATTTCTTTCCATCGTTTATTGAACCATCATCTTCCTCTTTATCTCTTATGCCACAATTTTCAGATTCTTCACAAGTGTGGAATGGTTCAAGCCTGGTTTTGTGTATGCCAAACGTCGTCAAGATGATCTTGGTTCTCTTCATGATTTTGCCCCAGCACTAGATCTCGTCACTCCTGTCATACCTTTTTATCGGTCCATTCGACCATCTAAACCCCTTGATTGGTATGGTTTTTATACACTTGTATCTCTATCAGCTATCTTGTCTTCTATTTGCATTCTCTCTTGTTATACACAGACTATGGAACATGAATGTTGGAAACAAGCAATGCAAGAAAAACTCCAAGCACTCCAAGTGAATCACACTTGGGACATTGTTTCTTGTCCTCCCATGATCAAACCTATTGGAAGTAAATGGGTTTTCTCTATAAAGCTTCGTTTTGATGGCTCTTTGGACCGCTACAAAGCTTGATTAGTAGCCCTTGGTAATAAACAGGAATATGAGGTTGATTTTGAGGAGACATTTGCTCCTGTTGCCAAAATGACTACAGTTTGGACCATCCTAGCCATTGCTGCTTCTAAATCTTGGCCGCTGCATAAATGGAGTTGAAGAATGCTTTTCTTCACGGTGATCTCAAAGAAGAAATCTACATGAAGCTTCCCTCTGGTATGACTACTTCCTCTCCTAATGATGTTTGTAAACTACAACATTCTCTATATGGGCTTAAACAAGCTCCTCTGGCTTGGTTTGAGAAGTTTTCTACTTCGCTTCTTAACTGTGATTATTTTCTTTTCTTCCACAAGTCTCCCACGGGTATAGTTCTCATCTTGGTGTATGTGGATGATCTAATCATTACAAGAACTGATAATGGGTTGATTACTAAGCTTCAAGCAGTGCTACATGCAACATTCCGCATAAAAGACCTTGGACAACTCACATATTTTTTAAGATTGGAGGTGCATCATTGATCCAATGGCATATTTTTAAACCAACATAAGTACATTCAAGATTTGATCACTTTGGCTGGCTTACTCCTTTAGTTGATACTCCTATGGAAGTAAATGTCAAATACTGGAAACATGAAGGGGATATTTTAGCTGATCCAACTCTCTATCGGCGATTGGTAGGAAGTCTTATCTATCTAACGATAACTTGACCTAACATTTTATATGCCGTTCACCAAGTCAGCCAGTTTATGTCTTCTCCTCGGCATCTTCATTTTGCTGCTATTCGTCGCATTATCCGCTATCTTATAGGGTCCCCTACACGTGGGTTATTCTTTCCTAGAGGCTCACCTTTACATCTTATGGCATATAGCGATGCTGATTGGGCAGGATGTTTGAATACCCGTCGATCTACTACATGTTGGTATATGTTTCTCAGCGGTACATTCATTTCTTGGAAATGTAAGAAGCAGGATCGCATTTCTAAATCTTCTATTAAGGCTGAATATCGTTCAATGTCTTCTGTTTGTTTTGAAATTGTGTGGCTACGCCATCTTTTGGAGGAGCTTGGATTTTCACAGCCTCACTCTACCCCTCTTCATGCTGATAATACAAGTGCTATTCAGATTGCTGCAAATCCTGTGTTCCACAAATGTACCAAGCATATCAAGGTTGATTGTCATTATATCAGGGAAGCCTTGACCAGTAAAGTCATCTCTCTTCCTTACATCTCCACAGATTTTCAAGTAACTGATATCTTTACCAAAGCTATGACTAGATAGCGCCATCAGTTTCTTGTTGGCAAATTGTTGTTGGTTGACTTACCAGCATCAATTTGAGGGGTATGTTAATGTGTAATTTATTACCTGTTTTTAATAGGTTTATAGCTGTATTATTTTATACCTTATATATATCCTAGCTGTTAGGAAATCTCCTATAATCTCTCCCTTCCTTGTATAACTCATGCAATCTCTCATCTCCTTGTAAAGCATATATCTTCTTGTCTATTTAAGAAAGAAAGGCCGCAAAAGGCAAACAAGTTTTTCCAAAACAAAAGCTCTTGTCATATTGTAAAATGTTTTCTGGTCTCTTGATATCTTGACAAATATACAGATTTAATAAATCAGTTATGAATGGCCAAAAGCATAAACAGATGAATTACTCACGCCAAAGCTGTCCAGTTCTCTTGCTGCTGCAGTCTGGACCAGAGGATTTTGTTTACAGCACTAGGTACAATCCATGCTAATGCTACAGAGGCACCAAATACATGGAATTGCAGATCAGTCACTGTAGCCACAGCAACACCAATAGATACCACCGTTAATGCTAAAGCCTGTAAAGTTTCAATTCTTATGGTAAGCGTTCCAATCTAAAATCAAATAGGTTCAAAAATTTTGAATTCTTGAGTCAATTAAAGAGAAAACATTGACTTATAAACAGTATTAAAAATTCCTAGGGAAAACAAGGTGAAACTTGTTTTCAGATACACACACCACTGTGGCCAGACCACTAGAGAGCATAGGCTAACTAATTCAAGCAATGCATTTGACTAGTGACTAGACCCCTTTGTTCAACTACAATCTTGAGCGGCATCCATAGGTCCTCAGAGGCACATATGATGTAACAAGTAATCACTTGAAATCTATCTACATGAGCATTCAGTTATATGCTGAAAACGTAAAGGAGCAATAGAGGTGTCAGGAATCATGAGGGCATTCAATAGATATGCTTTATAAATTGGTCAAGAACTTTGTCTCATAATGGAAGGATTAGATTAGGTGTTTGATGCAAATTTTTTTAGGTTAAAAGTAAAGATGCTCACAGGACTTCATAGAACAAATGTGCATATTTCAAATGAGTTAATTATAGAACCTCTTATTTCTACAAGACCAAGTACATTGTTATTTATCATTATCAAATATACATGCACAGTAAAAGTGAATTCACACTTACCTTGGGCAAAGAAACTTTCTTTCTGAACAATACAAATTCTGCCATAACTATTGAAGGAGTTACTGCAATCTTTGCCATCTGATAGAAACCAATGCTGAACATACATATATTAAATTCAAATTCAGAGTACAAAACAAAAACTTAAATTAAAATATGATAGTTGGGTTACCTATTATACTTCAAGCTGACATTAGCAAGGCCAGTCGATAGAGACATAACAAATCCAAGAGTAAATAAAGCAGACAGCTGAGTTGATTTTGAAGGAGGAGATGTCGGGAGCAAAGAAAATGCATTTAGTACAGCCATTAAGAACCAGCTCACTAAATAGTGAATTAGTGAGAGAAGTATAGGGAATTTGAATTTAACAGTTTGAAGAACCTGAAAGAAAGAACGAAAAAGAAAAGGCCATGAAATCAGCATCTAAAACTGGTAATTTGAAATTTCTATACAAAACACAGCCCAACCAGATAAAATGAAAGGAGTAACCAAACCATTTTGTTCATGAAGATAATACCAACTGCAACCAGAAAATTGAAGGAAAGTGCTGCTGCTGGACCACATGTTCGCTGCTGTTGACGTTTTGCACCTTCAGAGGAACGAAATTCATTATACAGAGAGCCTCTCAAGTCTTCCAGTGCTCTTCCTGCAATGAGCAGTAAAAGAAAGTAGAATCTTAGATTGACACAATAAAGCCATCAAGTATTGCCAAGGAAAATTCACCACCTCAGAGATGCATCAATAAGAAATGAATTTATACAGAGATTGTAATATTCATAGTAAGTATATGGAATTGCAAATGCAACTCTTGAAAAATTGTTAGAACTTAGAATTGAATAAATCATGAATACCAAGAACCAGATATGAAGGAACTTCAAAAGGTGAGCATCTCAAAACTGCACGACATTACAAGATGTTGGCAATCAAGGTACACACACATAAGGCGCCATCCCAACTTAAATAAGTGATTTGTCAAATTTAGAGAAAATTCACATTTTTTTTCAAATGAAAACAGCTTTCACTTTGTTTTCACCCTCATAGATGGGAGAAGAAGTTGATTTAAATTTAACTATTGAAAGTATAGCTGGGAAATTAACTTCTTGCATAAGATTAATGAAAAAACATAATACAGCACATACAATACTAAAAAAGAAAAAGAGAGGTTTCAAGGTTCTCTAACTATGACACAAACATGGGTCTTATAAGCACCAAACAATTAAAAATAAAAACAAATTTGCACGTGCTCACTCTTCACCAACAAAGAATGAAAATTGTTGTAAAAAACGTAATAAGTAAAGTATTTGCGTAGGAAGCAAAAGTAAAATGTCCTGAATCCTCATAAGCAACAAACTTGTGATGGAAGGGGAATAAATAAAATCCGAAGCTACATTGTCTTAGCTTGATAAACCCCAAACTCAGCTAAAAGGAGAAAGCTTCATTCAAATACTTCAGAGCGAAAAAAATCTGAAAAAAAAGAAAAGGGAACGTTGAGTTTAGAGTACCTCTTTCCCCAGCATCGCTATCTTTGCGCTTGAGAATCTTTCGAACATCCTTCCTCAATAAGAAATTAAACATTTTTAGAAGAGGGCATTCCTCAGAATCGAAAGGGTGTGCTCCAAGATTCTGCTGAGGCTGAGAGAGCAAGTAACGGCACTGTTGTGAACTTTGTGAATGAGAAATAGAGAAAAGGGAGATGGACACGTGGATTATGCCGGTGATGGCGGAAAATGCCAGATGTCGGTGACTGATTATGACCCCTTTAATACCTCTCTCATATGACAAGACATCCAGTTTAACGTTGTCCTATGCTTCTTATTCTCATCAGATAAAAACGATGCCGTCTCCATATTCCATTGCTCATTTTTCTTTCGAGGTCAAATAATCACAATCGTAAAAACCCTGCTTGTTGTTTATAACTTTTAGTACTACAAAATTTTGAACTAATGTTAATATAAAGTTAGCTCGTTCTTATGAGTAAACAATTTCTTAAGCAAGAAGTAGATATAGATGATTGATCATTTTCTAAGTTTATTTGTCGAAAGTTGAGTCCCTGACTCGCTAGAAATCTTTTACAGTTGACACTATTTCTTGTATTAAATAAACATGAATTTCATTTATCTGTTAAAACATAAAATATTTTTAAATTTTGTTATGTTTAGTTGTTTTACATTAATTCTAAGAATTGGCTATTTTGTCTGTCTTTTAACCGAAATCATTGCGGACAAAGATGTTAGGTTGGTTCTCCAATTCCGGATATACATTTTAATTATATTCGACAATTTAAATTTAATAATGGTAATAAATGTATTTGGAATATTTTTAAGATATTAATTTAAAAAATTACAAAAGTAATATAAAAAACACTTTTTTTATCATGATTTATGTACTTTTATTGTAATTTTAAATATATTTTTTATTTATTAAATTCTTAGTTAGTGCTCTATAAATATTGGTTAACGATCTCTTAAAGTTAATTCTACTCAGTGCTGAAACAAAAAAGGTTCATAATTAGTATGATGTTTTAGTTTCAATGTGAAGATGGATGGAATTTAGGTGTAACATTTTGGTCTACTTGGTATATATTTTTAATTAAAATTTTATCTCTAGGTAGTCATATATTATAAATATAACAACTTTAATCATATTATTTTTATGAAAAAGATTATTTAAAAATATATTTAATAGTAATTGTATGAATAAAAAAGGTAAAACTATGATTAGAATATTAATCAAATCTTTTTCTCTTGTAGAAGGAAAGTGTTTACACTAAATACTAACAAATAACTAATGCGCTCAACTTCTTATAAAATTTTGATTTCTCCGGGGAAAGTTGTATTGGAGATTTAGCTTTTCAATTTTCAATAATAAGCCAAGTTTATGTGTTTTTTCTTTAAAAAAAATGCAGTTATGAATTCGTTTGAATAGTATTAAATAATTTGTGTAACAGATTTAGTAACATAGAATAGTTATACTATTATTAAAATAATTTGTTTAATGTAGATATAAAAAAAAAAAATTCTCACATCAATATAAATTTAAAATTTTTTACATTTTATCTGATCATTTCATTTAATTTATATTTAATAGGTTATAATTTATTATTTTATTGACTATTAGATGTAAATTAAATGAAATGTTCAGATTAAATATAAAAATTTTTAAATTTATATTAGTATGAAAATATCTATCTATTATAAAAAAATATATAATAAGAGTTTATGTGTAGTGAATTTTTAATAAATATTATAAATTATTACAAAATTTAACACATGAATAATATTTAATGTCATAAATTTGAATAAATTTTATTATTTATTATTTTTTTGTTGAATATCATTGAATATATATTATAATTTTTTTAATGGATGCTTTAAAGATATTAACTGTGTATAAATTAATAAATAATAATTTACAAATTATTAAGATACATTACAAATCACAGAAATGAGTGTCTTTCATGTCTTTCAATATATTTTTGAATCATTTAAGTAATACCCTTATATTTTTCTTGTAAAAAAATAAAGTTATTAAACTTTAAAGGAATGAAAAAACGTCAAAATATATTATCGGCACTGTTTTTCCATCATAATTTTGAAACGAGTGAGTAAAATGAAAATATCTGATATCTGTTCCCTAATTAATGAGAAGTAACAAGAAGGTGGAAGCAGTGAACTGTATTAATAGCATTTTTCCTGATTCGGAATAATGTCTAATTTATGAACAAAACTTTTCCACGTGAAGCAAGTCTATTCCTATGAACTACATTATATATATATAATAAGGACTTCTATTATTTTTTTATTTATGATATATTTTTAAAATGTTTACTTTATTCACAGTAAACTAGTGTACTGTTTCCTATGAACTACAATTTAACGCAGATAAAGTAAATAATAATAATAATAATAATAATAATAAATAATATAATTATTAATTATAATAACACTGACATTGAACGATGTTACTTCGTAATACTCTGGGACTTTCAATGTAAGACTTACAAATTGTGGTCGGCTTCCGCTCTTAATTTTGTGAAATATATTTTTAGTTTTTATATTGTTGTAAAATTTTAAATTTAGTATTCTATATTTTGTTTTACTTTTAAAATTTTAATATTTAATAATTTTAGTATCTAATATAATTAACTAAAAAATTTTGGTAATTTCTACGGTACCCTTTAAAGGGTACCTCTACCCTCCTTACATGATCCAATATATTTATAACATTTGTAAAAAATATGTTTAATATTGAAAAAATTGATCATTTTTTATTTTTTGTAATTGCAAACCGTTCCCCTTTTGAATGTGTTTGAAAACTGCAGCTAGGATTCATTGAAAATAAAGGGAGAAAAGGGCCATTAATAAAGGTGAAGTGGGGTCATTAACAGAGGTGGAAATGACTGTATATACCCGTAAAAGGTGATAGTAGTGTTGGAGATTAACATTGTTGCGATGTCACATTACAGGTTCAATAATGGTAGTTATCTTAGGTTGATTTTGTTTTGGGTTCTGACTTGCAGGTTTAGAAATAGAGTTGTAGCCCTTTGACGAGGATGATAAGATGTGGTTGTTTTGAGATTGAAGTTCTATATTTTGGGATTTATGACGACATACGGCTATGACTTGAACTTGCTTATAAAAGTGGCTTGAACAGTAACGATAATGTCGTTGGTGTGAGGATGATAGTGTTGAGGTCTGTGTTTGATGAGAAGTATCTTGCAGTGAGTTTATAATTAATGACAAATTTAACGTAAAACTCCATTATAACCTACCATTAACGTTGTCTTTTTCATCGTGAACCTCTTATGAAGTCATCTTTCTCTGCGAAACCCGCATCCGTGAATTGCTACAAATTGCTAGTTGTCACAAAACTTTTACCAATATTTGTATTGTTCAATCAATCAACATTAACACCTTCTGTTTGAAATCAATTAGCACCCACGATGGAATATTATTGGCCGCTAGGAAGACGAAAATATATCCTCATTCTGCTTTTGAATTTTTCCCATAAGAAAGAATATAACTTTTTAAAATAACCTAACTAAAGGACCTCTTTGTAATATTTAAAATTATAAATAATATATTTATTGAAAACAAAGTAATCCTTTGTTATTGGTCCAGTATTAATACCCTTTCAAAAGTTAGGGTATATATCAAATTTTTACTGCAGCATACTAATAAAAGAGATAAAAATATTAAATTTTAAAAAATTAAAACCTTACAAAATACAAAAATTAAAAATATATTTACACTTTAATAAATTAAAAACCTTCCTTAAAAAGTCGGTGGTGAGTAAAATGACTTCTCATTGTTAAAAATTGGACACCATGATAACAAAAATTGGGGCTCTTCTTCATATTACATAACCTCATGAATTGTCACAGGATTGTCCCATCAACTTACCAAAGGATATCATAAAATTTATATGTTATTATGTAAAAATTATTAGGATTATTTATTAATTAAAATTAAAACTTTATTGTGGTAAAACATTTATATTTAATATTATTAGAGATTGATATAATAAATTTTAACTTCGAGTAATAAATTATACCAATAATACTTAAATATTGCCTATTTAAAGAATGCATTTGGAACCTATTTGTGTACTTCGAATTTATACGATTTCCTATGTCAAAAAATCGAGTTAAAGCAGAAGTTTTGTGAAAGAAAAAATTATGATTTTGGTACAACAGCATCTGAGAATCAATAACAATCATGGGTAGAGAAACCTACGAACTGCCTTTATAATAACTTAAGTATCAAAATGTCATCCTGATTGGAGGTTCTTCATTATTAATCAATTGAAAGTTTCTCGACATAACCTAGCTGTTCTAAGACCACTGCCTCACGTGTTAAAATTTTCTTTAGAGTAGATTTTTTTATTAGTCCTTAAAATTATTTGGATTAGGTTCATTTTAATTCTTACAATTTTAAAAATCTTTCATTAATTTCTGTTTTTATAATGGTCGCCATTTTCAGTCTTTTGTAATACATAACGATAATAAAAATCAAAGTGGTCAAAAGAGACTGAAATAAATAAATTTTTATAAAATCAAAGATTAATAAAAAGTTTTAAAAAATTTAGAGATCAAAATTTCTAACTCATAATTTTGAAGACTAACTTAAAGATTTACTGTTTTCTTTGAATTTATAATGTTTTGTTTGCTTTATTCCTTGAGTAGGGTAATGTTTTCTTGATACACATGATGACGTGAAATAGGAAGGGAAAGAAAAATAGACAATATATATGATAAAATAAGTGTCAGAGAAAATGAGTGTTCGATAATCAAAATCCATTCAAGAAAGCTGCAAGTAATATATGTAACATTCATAAAAAGCATGAAGTTTATTTATAATAGACCAGACCCTTTTTTCTATTTTATTATTCGAACCATTTTATTGCTATAATATGTATATAAATTATACGGACTGGTTACTATATCTAAAAGACCCGGTGGATATGGCTTAAAAAGTCTCCCGAACCCACCACCATTTCCTGGATGCATTCTACTTAGCAAAAGCATAACCCTAAGCGAAACTACACCAGACATAGTGAAAAAAAGACAACGTTGACTCAATTGGTGAAGAAAGTACGAGGTGAGAAGAGGCGACGAGGTGAAAACATTCCCATGTAGCTTGGCGAAGCAAGGCCATCAATTGATCTATACTCAGGCATAATAAAAGCTTCACGTTCTTCGCGGGCCCCAGTATTCTTCCCGTGTCCATTGAAGGTCCCATACTTCACCAACTTTCCCACCCATGATTTCTTCTTAGTTGGAGTTTGATGGCCCGTGTTCATCTTCTGGCACAGGTACTGCTTCACCACATGCAATCCCTGCTCTACCACTTCATGTGGTGGTGAAGTTAAAGGGTTCCCTTCCACACTTAGCTTTTGAAGCTTCTTGAGGCACCCAATGGAGTCAGGTAAGGCCTTGATCTTGTTGTAGCTAACGTCGAGTTCAACCAATGATAAGAGGAGGCCAATGGAGTAGGGTAGAGACTCGAGGTATTGGAAGTTTTGGCTCACGTTTAGGATTTCGAGGTTGATGAGGTTTTCGAGGTCTTCTGGGAGAGACCTGAGGCAGTTGAGGCGCGCGTCGAGGACCTTGAGGGCTGTGAGGTACGAGGTTGAACGAGGAAGGAAGAGTAGCATGTTGGAGTTCACTGATAGTTTCTTCAGGTTTGTGAGTTCGAAGCCTAGGGTTTCAGGAAGCTGTCTCAGCCTGTTGAAGTTGGCATTCAGTTCTTCTAAGGCCCTGTGTCAAAGTTGCAAGTTAATAATAAACCAATATCATCTAATCTAGTCGATAATCCGTAGTAACTCGTGGCATGCATGCCTGCCTAAAGAATTTAATATTACAGTAGTGAATTTATGATGCAAATAACGATCGATTGAAAACATAAAATCAGTATGTTATAAGTTATGATGAATGTGTATTGATATAACCATTTTTGTAATTTTTTAAAAGAAGTTATCTAGTAATCATTGTGTTTCGTTATATAGTTATTATTAACCATTTATTATTATTTTTAGCATTTATATTTAATAAATGGGGTTAATAAAGATTTAAATTTGAATTGATAAAGATAAAATTTGATAATAAAGTTAAGACAATGATATTGAATGCAATAATTTATTATTTTAAAAAAAATCATATTTAATATATTAAATTGTGTAATATCATCTATTTTTAATAAAAATGGTATACATAAGTTTTTATTGTGTACTTTTAGATATATATTAAAAACTATATTAAATAAGAATAATTTTTATATTATAATATATGTTAAAAAAATCTAATTTTAAGTAATTTTATTATTTATACAATTTTGTTAAAGATAACAAGTGAAAATGATAGAAAGAATTATTTAAAGGAGATTTGTTATGATTCTCTTAATGAATTTTATAATTTGGATTGAGGAGATGAGAGTATTCTATGATTATTGTAGCGTTCCTTTCATTTAAACGTGGGTGTGTATCCGTTGTCCTTGGTGATCATTGTCATGTGGCTGTAGATAGACTAAAGTTCTTTGTTAATTGCCGTAAAGTCTTATCATGAGTATAGTTTTCCACGAAATTATCAATTATTGATTGACTTTTTCAAATAATTGTTTTAGCTAGGTGTCCTCCATCTTCTGTTTTAAATACCGGTCAAATGTAACTATAATGACACCCAAAGAAAATGGAGGAGTTTGATTATTGCCCTCTATACGTCACAGCAACTCACAATGCTTTTTAAGAAGGTGAAGTCTTCTGAAACATACCGCCATTTAATAGAATATATGGGACCCATGTATTCAATAAAATTATAATATATTTAACGGTAACTTCGTAAAAGAACAAATTTTCTTCTTCCGGCAACATAAAAGAATATCTCCATTGGTTATTGCAACATTAATTAATATATAGGTAGATATTTTTTAATATTATCTTTTGTTGTAGTTAATTATATAAAAGTAAGTTAACTACATTTTATGTGATTGACAAGAACATTCATAGATTATCAAATTGTAATATTCAATTAATATCTTCACCAATCACATTATATATGTTAATTAAAAATTGGTAGTCGTCATTAATTGTTACAAAGATTTGTGTACAAGATTTTTTTTTCACGTGGACATCATTTTCCTTATTTCTATCACTAAAAATAAGTTGTATTTGGATATATCTATATATATATATATATATAGTAACTTTTTTATACAATAAATAGATAAAAGTGAGAAAAAGATAAATGATGTGTTAGAGAACAATAGAGAAAAAAAAATTATACAAAGTATAAAAGTGTAATATAAATAATATCTCTAAAAAAAAGTGTGATTAATAGATAAATTTAATTCAGGTAACTTGTTGGCTTCTGTAGAGTGAAAATTTAAAATCTTGATTCATTGGTCTTTAACAAAATTTAAAAACCAAATTATGTCTGCAAAAAAAACTATTAAATTCGTTTACAAAAAAAAGGCTAATAAATTCAGTTTTTTAAATTATTGGAGCAATAAAATAATCATTCATATAGATTTAGAAATTAAATTCACTCAGCGTATAACTCATAATTTGAAATATATATTCAGTCAACAAAATAACAAATTGCAACAGAAAAAGTAATCTGATGAGTTAAGTAAAACGACTTATTTTATAAATTATGCGATAGGCATATCTTTAAGTTTACTCCCTTCCATGACTTGTTATATTTCTAATAGTCGATCACTTATAAAGTTTTCGAATCTAATCATGATGTCGGATTTGATTATTTTACTTACACCTTGTTGTCCTTGTCTCAGTCAAGAAAAGAATAGATACAAGGAACAAGCAAAAACACAAATTAAAGGTCCACCTATCATAATTAAGATGGAAATGCAACTCATTCAAGTGTTTAGGACTATTTCGTGCACTTTGTGTTAACGATGTTTGACTAAGGTTTTTAAAAAAACTAAAAATTATTGAATAAACCAGACTTCTAAGTCACAATTAAATTAGGTAAATTCATTCTTAAATTGTGGTTAGATCGGACCAAGATATTTAAATTGAATTAATGGTAGTATTACTTAAATTAGAGAAGCTGACGAATAGATAGGTAGTTTGGTTATATATACAAACCCTGTCCTTTTCTTGAAATTGGAATTCAATTTCTTGAAGCTATTACATTGAAATTAAGCATTAATTTCTTATGGAGGAACATGCATGCAAATTAAATTTACTATTGGTCTGAGGAAACGTAGAAAGAGATGTAAAGGAAGGTGACTAACCTGCAATTCTCGATTGTCTTGGGAAGGTATTCGATGAGGTTGCCAGCGACATTCAAAACTTTGAGCTTAGAGAGGCATCCAATGGAATTGGGAAGGGACCTAAGCTGGTTGGACCGCACATCCAACACTACCATGTTCAACAGTCTCGCCGTTAAGGACTCCGGAATACTCTGTCAGAATATACTAATACGATGATTACCAATAATAATCAAAACCTGTGCTCAAAATATATTAATATCTGATAAGTAGCTCCCCCTTTAATCGTACGTTTCGTGCAAAAAAGGAACATATAAAGTACAGAGGAAAAATTAAACCAATTGGTTTAAACCTTCTCAGTTGCTATTGGAGGAAGGTGACAACTAAATCGAAACACCATGAATAATCTGTGCTGTCACATATTCATTCTTTTTAAACTATCCATTAATTCCTCCATATATAGATATTCATTTCCCTTTCCCCAGGAATAGAAAGACAGACTAAGAAAACTAAACCTACACCCAGAAGGTTTAATTTTATTTTTTTTAAAAAGAACCATTTATATTGAAATTGTAAGGTTACCTGAAGATTGTTGTTAGAGAGGTCCAACTTGCAAATGGAAGCTAAATTAAGAGAAGGGTTGGGAAGAGAGTCTAAGGACATGCCACTCAAGTCCACTATTTCAAGCCTCTCTTCCTCTATGCTTTTGTTTCTCTCCGTCTTCTTCCTGACGTCCATCTTCATCATCGGCTGCTGGAGCCGTTGTTGTTGTTCATACATCATCTTTCGAAATATGATAATAATGATATACGATTACCACTATATATATTAATAATTTTCTTGTGCTATAAGTGATTTTCTCCTTCACTTAAATGAGGGATATGAGTGTGGTAAACAAAATTCTACGCCAGCTAAAAAGGGGTGGAGAAAAGAAAAGATAGTGATGAATGGGAAATTGAAGAGAAAAGAAGAGAGCATTTGTTTATATGAGAAGAGAGAGAGAGGACGTACGGATGAGAAGGAAGAAGGAAGCGAAGGGAGTGGGACACGTGTCAATGATGTATGATATTTTGAAGTACAACAACCGTATGCTTAGGAGTTGCGTGGCCATGTTCCCCACTCTGATCAGGTCAACCCTCCTCCCCTCCCCTTTTTCTATTCACACAAGCAAAAATTAGTACTTTTTAACGCCTTTATTTAAGTCATCTTCCCAAGCAAATCATTTCGTATCTTTCATCAAACTATTTAAAACTAAATAAGATTTCATTCATTTTATTAATTTAATATTTTAAAACTTAAATAAGATCATAATAACATGTTATTTACACTTCATTTTTTAATATTTTAAAATATCAAATCATAATTTTATAACTTAAAAATTTATTGAAAAAACATAAATATAATATCATTAACGACATATCTCCTTCGTATTATCTCTCATAGCAAATTCAGGTATTGTATAAATAAGTAATAAAATTATATTATTTACATTATATAAATTAACTTGAATATTACGTATTTAAATATTAAAAAATAATAAATTACTAAGTGAAGGATATAAAAAAGATTTTAAAAAATTGAAAGATTAAATAAAAAATAAGATAATTTAGACATATATATATATATATATATATATATATATATAGAGAGAGAGAGAGAGAGAGAGAGAGGTGTTAAGTGAATATAAAAAAAGAGAAAAATTAATGATTAATGGTGTAGGGTTTAGGGTAAGATTTCAATGATAAATGACAACACTTTATAGAACATCAAAATCACAAATTTGATCTCCAAAAGTATTACCTTTTAAGGAGAGAGTCATCGTATTACAGGGAAGACCAGGAGAGAGAATGAAGAAATAAGAAGCTGAGGAAGCATATTATCAGAGATGTTCTATTTAAGATGGAACTTTCTATAATGGAAAATCTTTTTTATGTCCCTCAACTAGTAATTTATTATTTTTTAATATTTATATACTTAATATTCAAGTTAATTCATATTTACTCATTTGAAAAAGATAAATAGATATCAAATGTGTGACTTGCTTATTCAATTTGAAGAAGATGACTACAAACGGATATTTGTACTTTTGTGGTGTGAATATCGTTCAAAGTTTTATTGGCTTTGGGTGGTGTTGACCAAAAACGAAAATGCTTTAGGATTGGGGTTATATATGTCAACCCTGCAGTTCCAAATAAAACAAGTAGCAGTTTTTTAAGTTACATCCCTAGGATCTATGTAAAGTTGTCTTCGCATGTTCATTTACTTTATTAATCCATTCTTGCCAAACAATGATTCGCTCCATAACTAATAATTAATTAGTTAATTAAACTTATCGAGTATGTTTGTGTTTACCTTTTTAGTGCCAACAAATTTTGACTGTTGCTATGTAAGCTACCTATAGTATGCGAAATTAAGTTACTAGCTATTTTTGGTATTAATATTGTGTAAACAAAACTGATAGTGTGTTTGACTTGCCAATGTACTTGTATGTAGTGTTTACAATGTATATGAAAGAGATTTTAAAGTGAAAGGGTGACAGTAACAAAGACTATATTTAATTTGTTTATTATTATATTTATAATTTTTCACTACATATTTAATTTGTTTATTATTATATTTATAATTTTTTACTATATGCAGTGGTTCAGAATTATGTTTAGTATAGGTTTTATATAAAATTTGGAAGGTTAGTGACTAAAAAAAATATTACTATTCATGTGGTATTTATTGCTTAATGTATTTTTAATAAGAAAGAATTTGACCAAATGCAAAATAACAATTCTATCATAAATTTGTGAATTGTGTGATATCAAAGATAAAGATGTATTGTATCTTTCTTTTTTTTTCTGCATTGTGATATTTTTAAGAAATGATGCTCTAATACTCTAGTATTATTATATGTATGATATTTTTTGCATGAGATATTATTGAGTATGTATAAAATTTGATGTGAAAAGGAGAAATCAAAGGAAGGTGTAATTATGTGATTTGTGTTAGTATGAAAAATTTAGATTAAGAAAATAATATTCTTTTCAATAATAGTGTGCTAGATATTAATAAAATTTGATTATATTAAGTATTATTTTTGGAAATAACTCTTGGCAAGACTTTTGGCAAGTTTAATTATTTATGTAAATTAAATTAATGATCTGACATGTATTATTAATTTTCTTTAGATATGCATTTTAATTTCTTATTAATCAACACAGTGAACTATCATTTTTCTATAGAGTTTTTTCCTCTATTTATATAAAAATACAGTCATTCGTTAAAAAAATTATATAATAGTTTTATTTTTAATATTTTATTTCATTTATTTATTATAATTATATATATATATATATATATATATATATTATACGTAACTGATAATAATAATGAACAAGTAGGTATTAATTTTTTTAATTACATCTAATTATAAAATAATATTTAAAATATTTTAAAACTTAATAATAATAATAATAATAATAATAATAATGATGATGATGATGATAATAAATCTATTTAAAACATTATTACGCTCATGCTTTTATCTTTAATAGTGCTTAAAAAAATATATTAATAATGAATGTCCGTCTAACTTTTCAATAAAAATAAGACAATGAATCACTAAAAGATAAATCATTAATTAAATATATCTTAAAAATATCTAAGTTTGTAAAGGTCGATATCACTTCTCCAATAATGCAGTGAATCAAGTGTGATATGGAAAAATAAAATTGTTGATATTTAATTGTAAAAATAAAAAATTATTTTTAAAATATAAATCAAACATACTTTTATCTTTTCAGATATAAAGTGGATGGAAGTAAATGAAAAAAAAAATAGATGTGATTGATGATATAATAATAATAATAATAATAATAAAAAAGAAGGGTTAAAAAATGAATATAAGAAAAATAAGTATAAGAGTTTAAAATAATTTTTTTAATGTTTTTTATATTGTACTTTTAACCAAACTAGTGATTATTTATGAATTGTACGGATATTATTAAATTAATATTAAATTTTAAAATAAACAGTTAAAAATGTTGTATGACTATTTTAAAAATAAGCCGTTGTAGTTGTTAATAATAAATATTATATTGTATCATATAAAATGAATAAAGAGAATTTTATTAAAATTAAATTATAAAAATTCAAGTTTGAACTTAATATTAAATTAAAAATAAATGTTTAATATAGAAAATTTACTAGATACTAAAAAAAATTAACTTCTAAAAATATTTTTATTTGATAAAATCCTAAAAATGTGATCGTTTATACATAAAATTTTATTACACAAATTAAAAAATAGTTAAAAAGTAATTTTCTTACTTATTTTATATATATTATAAGATAATTTTTTTCTTTTATTTAATATTATTAAACTTAACTTCACTATCAGCATTTATTATTAAGTTTTTATCAACATTATATATTACAAAAAAATAAAAGATACTTAAAAGTTTATAAAAATTATAAAATTATTTATAATACAATAGTTTTTCTTATATAATAAAACTAAGTTTATATACAATATTTTTTTTATTAAAATTACAAAATTTAATATGTTAAAAAATCAGACAATAATTATTTGATTTATATAAATATTAAATTATTTGGCACTCTGTTTACAGGGAAACATATACATAATATCATAATGGAATTGCAGCCCGAAACAAGAACCTTCTTTTACATCTTATTATTTTCATTATTCACTAACACGTTTTGGCTCAAAAACTGCAAACCGATTATAGTATTGAAAAGTTATATGTATTGTACAGTTATTAAGGTGGGTCACACGTTAGTCTTCTTATAAATTTTTTGCCAAATGTGGGTTAAGAAGAAAAAAAAATTGGCATGGCAGGGGATGTGAGAACAAAGTAAAATAAGAAGTAAAGAAGAAGAAAGCAATGAGCAAAACAAGGAAGTAAAACAAAAAGTGGAGAGTAGCATTGCCTTGTAGAACCCTAAGAAGATAAGTGACTGACTTCCACTTCTTGGCTTCCCAACTACTGCTACAAATCAAACTTTTAAAGACTTTTTCACAACTCACAATCAATTTTGGAAGGACATAATCGTATACTAGTAAACAAATAAAGAAATTGTTAGTATTACAAAATTTTAAAAGAAGAAACAGACAATAAAAATAATAAACTTCTATATGAGTATCATTAATATCAACCATAACTTTATACAAAGATTTATTTGTACACAAAAATCTTTATATTCTAAATGACTCACAAAGTGTTACTTAAACAACTATGTACTTACAATATTATAGCTAAATTTTTTCTCCAAACTTTAACGCATGGAAATTAGGTGAAGTACCATATTTCTCCGCTTGAACCAGATATCTTCAATTGCTAAGCTTTGTTGCATGATTTTGTTGAAAGTAATTTAGCTTTATATAGCATCTCACATTTAGAAGCACAGTTTTTGTTATGTGACTAGATATGTCCTCAGAAGAGTACTTCTCTTCTGATATTTATTACATAATTAAAACTGTTTTTTTTTTTTAAAATCCTTTTTATTAAATATATAATCGTTGAAAGCGCCGAGCGTAACATACGAGTAAATAACAGAAAGAAAGGAAGACAGACCAACGGTAATGCATATGCAAATGGCGATGAGCATGCAACTGAAATCCTTTATCCCTGTTCTCCTACAAAGACATCCCCAAATCCTTAATTTTCCGAACAAACATTCAACAGTCACCTGTTGCTCTCTTCGCAATTCAGACCTTCTTGTATCTCAGACTCAGAGACTTGTCCACCACTTCAATCCCAAGACTCCCATAGAGGAAGCTGTTACACCGCCAACATCATGGTACACTGACCCCTCCTTCTTCCAGCTTGAGCTCGACCGTGTCTTCTACAGGGGTTGGCAAGTTGTGGGTCAGTTTTATTTTCCCCAAAGATTCAGTCTTTTTCTTGGGTATCTTTGTTTTGCTTTCTTTCCCTGCTGAGAATACCGAGGAAAACAAATTGTAGGCGTAGAATTTCAATCCAATAATTAGCTTCGATGGTTGAAAAGAAAAAAAGATATTATTATTTTTATTATGTGTGTTATTTGGTGAAATATCTTCGGAGGAAAGAAAGAAAGATGATGCCTGACAATATGAATCTGAGTATCTATGAGTGCATATGGTTCATTATTTACTTTTAATTGAGAGGGTGAATTACACAGGAACTGTATTCCGTGGTTTGTATGAAATTCACTTCATCTTCGTTTTAGTGTCACAAGTTTCCCTTGTATTTTTTAATGTAAAGGATGTACACCGTTATCTCTGCTTGCACTTACGATCCTCCTTTTTGAGAGTAAAGCTAGTGAGTGAGACCTAGTTCTAGACATTGCTAAATGTCTTTTCAATTATGTCTCATAGAATTTACCTTGTAGAATCTTTTGTCAGAGAGAAATTCTCAATTTTCAGTCAATTTGGCTTATCAGGATCGACGGAGCAGATAAAGAATCCCCTTGACTTTTTCACCGGAAGGTAATTTTTTTTTTAAATTATTTATAATAATCCATCTTGTAATTTGTTGTACTACCTATGTTGTTAACAAAGTTGTCTAGTTGCAGCTCCATTTGGTTCTTGGAAGGGTTAAAGGATATTTAGGAGTGACTTCTTAAGTTGAGCACTCTATTCATTTTCTTTTCTTCCAAGTTTCTGAGAACCAACTGGAGATTAAATATTGCAGACTAGGAGATGTGGAATTTGTGGTATGTCGAGATGACAGTGGCAAGATTCGTGCTTTTCACAATGTCTGTCGTCATCATGCCTCTCTTCTTGCTTCTGGATGTGGACACAAGTCCTGCTTTGTCTGCCCTTATCATGTGAGTTTACCTGCAGTGGTTGATATGCATGTTAGCATTATTTTGATTCTCTGGTCTATTGATCTCCTCCTTTTTATGTTCTGATCCTTGTGAGGTTGAAGACACAATTTTCAAGCTTTCCTTCATGTGTGATGATTGTTAATTTGTTATCATAATCTGACCCTTTCTCATTTTCGGTTGCTATTTTTACTCTCTTTTTTGGAAACTCAGATATGAAAAGACAAATTATTTCTGCAGGGATGGACATATGGGTTAAATGGAGCACTTCTTAAGGCAACTAGAATATCAGGAATGCGGAATTTCAATGTAAATGTATGCAGATATGTTCACTGATGACTTACTTGCACAATATATTCCTCACAGAGGGAAAAGGTTGACTAATTTCTCTGGCCATGAAGGGTAGGATTTTGGCCTTCTACCAATCAAAGTAGCCACCTGGGGGCCTTTTGTTCTTCTCAATTTGGAAAAAGAGAGTCTTCCTCAGAAGGAAGTTGATAGTCATAATGTGACAAAGGAATGGCTTGGTAGCTGTTCAGAAATACTGAGTACCAATGGAGTTGATTCTTCTCTAAGCTATGTCTGTAGACGTGAATACACCATTGAATGCAATTGGAAGGTATGAATGAACTCTTTGCTTAAATTTTTTTTCCTGGAAGTTTTGTTTATTAATTTATTACATGGGTAAAATTTCGTTTTCTTTATTATGATTATGCACATGAAAATTTCACCAGCTTTGTGAAACTTTACCCTTGTTGCTAAACCTTTCTTTTATCTCACCAGCATACATCCTCGACCAAAAATTTTAAACAAAAGCATTTGTTTTTTACGTTTTATATATGATTCAAGGAGGTGCTAGGACTTTGTTAATTTTGGGGTTTTCTGTTTGCAGGTATTCTGTGATAACTACTTAGATGGTGGCTATCATGTCCCATATGCGCATAAAGGCCTAGTATCTGGTCTTAAGCTTGATTCATATTCTATCACAGTATGATTCTTTGCTATCTTTTAAAAAAGATTTGTTTTACAAGCTACTGCACTGTTGCATGAAAAATTGAGTCATGTAAAATTTTTTTTTGAAACCCTTGTTACATGTAACTTCCAACGATTCCTGCTCCAACAGAAATAAAGACTTCTCTCTCTCTCTATTATATAAGTTTATTTGCTACAGTAAGCTAAAATAGTAGAATCTTTTTTGGAACTGAATTTTCAAATGTTCTTCGTTATCAGGGATTGCTTATGTAGTTATGTTCTAAAGGATGATTATGAATGAGACAGATGTTTGAAAGGGTTAGCATCCAAAGTTGTGAAGGCAGCTCGGAGAAAAGCAAAGAGAATTATGATCGACTTGGAAGAAACGCTATATATGCTTTCATTTACCCAAACTTCATGATTAATAGGTGCTTGTTTTGTTTAGACAACTGGTTAATCATTTTTTTCATTCATGTTCTTACTGATGTTAAAAAAAACAAATTGGTATCTTCCCCATATTTGTTTGGCAAATCAGCATGCTTTCATAACTTGGGTGCTTGCTGGCCCTATAGGTATGGACCTTGGATGGACACCAATCTTGTGCTTCCACTAGGACCCAACAAATGTCAAGTAATATTTGACTACTATCTTGAGCACTCTCTAAAGGTAATTGTAGTAATGTAAGCATATGCCTGATATTGTACCGATGATTCAGAACCTCTAAAATGTGCTAGTGTTAACGTACTACTCTATCTTGTGGGGGTTGAAAACACCAGTGCATCAAAGGATAATGCAAAGATATGTTTTGTTTTCTTGTATGGGTTCTCTCTTTTGGACTATGAGCTAAAAATTTTGTTCTGTGACATTTTATTGACGATAGCAAATTTTTCTGGTGATGTTTATGAATCAGACTCTACTCAATTTGGCTTCAAAACTACTCTTTTAGTGTATTACAATGAACCATATACTGTACCAACTGTATATGGGATTACGTTTGAAAGAATCTTAGAAGCTTTTTGGTTTGAGAAAATATTTTCTATTTTCACTTTTAGTTGCAAAAATATGACTTCATTTTTAATTTTTTATTTTCAAATATGTGTAGGAAACAGTGAAAGCAATAAAAGTTATCTTCATTGGATTCTACACAAATCTTTGAAAATTGAATGAAAATAAAGTCACATTTTGGTAATTAATAGTAAAAGTGAAAACATTTTTTGAAACCAAATTACTCTTTAACCGCCAAGAAAATATTTTGCCTTTAGAGAGGCAGGGTTGATGATTGATGACTAGGGTATGATACCATGAAATATTAATGTGAAGTTCAGATCTTTGCTCTCATACTTTGAATTACTTTATGAAACACATTTTCTTGCTTTGATGGATTTTGTGTAAAGGTAGCGAACCCTCAATATTTTAATTAATAAATAAATTTTCAGGATTTATGCAATATTAATGGTTCTATTCCTTAAAGGATTGAACCTTTTTTTTCTGGGTTTTCACAAACCACTAAGGTAAGAAGATAAATACTTATTTGAAAAATTAACACCTACTGCCTTCTCTTTGACCGAGCAGGATGACAGAGATTTTATAGAGAAAAGTTTACAAGATAGTGAGAAAGTGCAGGTAAAAAAACGTTGGCTTTGCAGACTTGATTTGAAAATATCCTGAAGTTGCAATGTACGTATCTACATTTGGTTGTTGATGAACAGATAGAAGATATTGTATTATGTGAAGGTGTCCAGAAGGGTTTGCAGTCCCCAGCATATTCTGTGGGCAGATATGCTCCAACGGTTGAGCAGGCCATGCACCATTTTCATTGTCTGCTCTACGAAAACCTTGCAAAATAAATCCCCTGTTCATTACGGATAATAAACAAATCACTGCAGCACCAAAGCACAACGACCCATCCGTGTATTGGGTGTTTGTCTGAATTTGAAATTGATGCACGGCCCTCCACTAGAGAGGATTTTTAATTTTAATCAAACACCATCTTGTATTTCTGGCTTATCTGACTTGCAATGGGTGTGGCTATACGAATCTCTTACTGAACACGGTAGTTTTTGGTGAACATGTCTCACTTGCAATAGTTGTGGAATTACTGAGTATCGTTGTTGTTTTCCTTCAAGTCAAATTTGCTGTGTTCAACAGGACATGTTATGCTCCAGTTTAAATTCCAATCATAAGGACAGACAAATTGTTACTTTCTCAAAAATATCAGATCTCATAAGATTGCCGGCCTTTTTCAGTGTACCACATCCGATGCTTGAACACACTGAAAAGCTAACGTACCCGAGAATTGGTGCACCGTAATAATGTTGTTTTAACTGAGAATTTTCAATTTCGTTCACATTTCAGTTACTTATAAAGTCATCCTAATTTTTCCGTTCTAATTTTTTTTCAATTACTATACATAACATCTTCATAATAAGATATTTTTCACTTAAATATTTCCTTTACTTTGTTTTTACAATTTTATCTAAATTTTAAAGTACACGTAAATTACATGTAAAGAAGAGAGAAGCTAAATTGAAAAAATGAGTAAGAATTATCATATATATATCTGCAACTTTTCACGTGTACGAAAATATGAATCGGCGTTTCTCAAACCGAAAATACACTGATAAAAAAAAACTAGCTGAAATTCCGTATATAACAAATATTTGTTAGAACCTAGGTATAAAACAATTCTAACTTTTGTTTCCGGATCTGTAGGGTCTTTGTACAACCAGTATACTATTTTCGATCACCAGAAGAATGTAGGTCAACCAGTCAAAATAAATGAGACGGCAGGGAGAGTAAATCAGCAAGACATCTGTACATGACGCTATTGAAAAGTCTCAGATTCCATCCTTCATTGAGTTCTTCCACAACGAATCAATTTTCGAAAAAAGTTACTCAATTGAGCCTCTGGAACTGGTAGCCATTTTCCAACCACAGCAAGAGGCCAGCTGAAAGAAGGGGGAGCAGGGAAACAATTCCAGTTAGCATGCGCGCACAAGGCAAGGGCAATCTAGTCTCTATGCGCAAATGCGTTATCATCTTCCGAGTTATACATTATTAGAAACATTCAAAGTCCTCCAAACTTTCATCAAGGGCAATCTTCAATAAAAACTCACTGAAGAAAACAGCATCCAAAGAGCAAGATACACTAAGTATTCAAGTATCATCAACTGACCTGATAAATCCTATAATAACAGAAATGAGCCACTGCTTCCAACTAAGCTTGACTGTTTTTGTGAACTTTCCAAGAAATTCAATGATGACAATCTGAAAAACAGTAATAAAGTTTATGGTAGCCCTACCAATAATTAATAAGTAAAGCCAAACAACCAGAGAAGATTTCAAACAGGCCTAACTGATGTGTTCTAACACTCCAATTAAAGTATAACATAGAGAGGAGGGGAGGCCAGAAGGGCAGTTTCGAAAGTGGAGTGCGAGGAATATATTATGAATGGATGGAGGGTGGTGCAGGAAGTGTATCATCATTTGGGTTGTTTTGGGGTGACTAATGCCACAGTGCAGAGAAGGCACTAATTCTGAGTTTTTCTTTTACCTTTTTCAGCCTCTAAAGATACTGCTATTTCCACTGTAATCAGAACTTGGTTCTCTGAAACATTCCTACCACGATAGTTATATCAGTATCTATCACTAACCTGAAGCACAACAGTTACTCCCACTATTCCCATAAAGAGCCAGTTTCTTGTGACTCCCTTGAATATGTTGAATTCATCAGGCTTTCGTGCATTAAATTCATTGAAGACCTGAAGTTTTGGAAGAACATTTTCTCATCATTTAAGTGAATGAAAATCAAAAGAAAACAGTGCAATTGTAAGATGGCTACAAATATAACTATAAATACAAGGTGAAAAATGAATTGGGCATGCATCCATAACCTTTTTCTGATATCAAAAGAATTTAGCAGCAACCAAAAACAGAGGAATCCAAAATCCATGCTATGAGTGGGGAGACAAAAACAATATGCTGTGACAATCAAGCAAGGGTGGAGCTACTCTCTACTTGGCAAAGGGAAGCCTAGAATCTAAAAGATGCTTCTGGACCTCCTTTCTTTTAGTATATATAAACTACACGAGAAGGAGTTCATTTACAAAAAAGGAAAGAGAGTTGGAGCAAACAAATCACTAAAAACAACTCAACTTTAAACAATTTCTTATCCATTAAGTACTCAACACCCTTTCAACAAACCTATACCTATTAAGAGTTATACCACCATAATCACACCTAATGCCATTGAAAATAATAAAGATTGTAAGAAAGAGCTCAACCACAACTATAATAGAAAATGAAGACAGTAATCTTTTTCATGTATAAATGAACTTCCTTTGTTTTTATAATTTGATTTGTAAGGCAACTATTCAATTTAAAATTTTCTAATTTATCTATAAATTTTTTCTCATTTATGATTTTAATTTTTTAAATAATGCGACGAATTTTAATCCAACTAAAAGTACTAAGTTAACAGAGAGATGAACACATCTTGGTTTCATCAATATTATCCCCTCCCACAACAAAATAAATAAATAAAGAAAACCAAAGAAACTCAAATATGAAATGCACTGTGCTGCCACTGAAGCTTAGAGACTTGTAATTTTCTGTTAATTAGTGAAGATAAGGACTTACTTGACAAAGAACAAATGCATTGAATATCAGTGTGTTCTTCACTTTGATTGCAGGGCGGTTTGTCTCGTCCCTCAAACCCAGTAAGTTCTGGCCTCGGAAATTGAGTATAAGCAAGACAGACACTTGGTACATTGCCTGAAAGGTTCCAACCATTATTGATGATTGAGTTAGAGACAACAGATATAATATGGCACAAGCAATACATTAGAGCTTTAACTTTTACATTCATTAGTTTGTGTGTGGCTCACCACATCAAAATAAAATCCCTGCCAAGTACAATGAAAACGAGGTGCTACTAAATGAGAAACACAACTCACTTGTATCAGCAGGTTCCTCCACATAATATTTGTCACAAGAGGTTCCCTGTAAAGTAAACTTAGATATTGTCAATTTCATAACACAAATACCATAAAAATAAATAGGCACAGCATCTGATGTTTTGGTAATGAAGCTTCAACAGTAGGTCCATTTTTCACATTCGCATTATGCTAAATCCATGTAACCATAACAAATTCAGTATTCACTTGCATATCTATAGCTTTTGGCAGCTGGTTATTCACAGAGGGATTCACAAAGCTTTACTGCATCAGTGTTACTACTTACTAGCTTCAATTGTACCCTACCGTTTTGGTATTTTGTGAAGGATATATCACTTTGATCTTGTACATTATTCTTCTCTCTATAATTATCTTACATTAAAAAAAATGCTGAAAACTAAAAATGGGGAGTGGCTCAACTAGTAGGATTGAACGACATCAACAAAAAGGTCTTAAGATGCAAATCCTATTGGTGGTCATTCATTGACAAATTATTTGTATGTAAACCTAAATCATTACTCATGATCCAAAGTAGTAAGCTTCAGGAGAAAAATGACCTTCGACCCATTGGAGGTAGATCCATCAGGTGATCTGTGGGTGGTTCAGTTGCCAAAGCTAATGCTCCAAGAGTATCCATGATAAGATTTACCCAGAGAAGCTGTTGAGAAATTAATAAGAGATATAGCTCATAAGGATAGCCTTCTGAATAAATAAGGGAGCACAAACGAGAGATGCAGACGGAAAGCAGACCTGTACTGTATTTAGTGGGATGTCACCAGTGCAAAATGCAGCAACAACATTTATAACAAGAGCAGCAATATTGACTGTGAGCTGAAACTGGATAAATTTCTGAATATTTGCATATACAGAACGTCCCCATCTGACAACCTGAATTGATGAAAGAAATTGAAAAGCACTACCAGTTATGCTTCAAACATTAATTCATTATCAGCTTAACTAAAATAATATCTGAATAGATGGAATGCACCTTAATTCTATATATACCTCTCAAAAAAGTATTCAAAAAATTACAATTCTTCATTTCAAGTTATGCCAGAAATAATCCTTCAAGAGATGGATGTTAAACATGCACCCGTGGGATTGAACAGTTCAAAATCCCCAAAATGAGAAATGAGGACTAACCTTCACAACTGAAGCAAATTTGTCATCCAAAATAATGATATCAGAGCTTTCTTTAGCAACTTCTGTACCTTGAATACCCATTGCAAGACCAATATCGGCCTAAATACCAAAAGTATAGGGTTACAAACAGCCAAAAAACAAAAACTAGTCCACATAATTTGAATAAAAATTGTGCATCAGAACAATAGATTCAAACTTTGGAATTATGAAACCGAATCATTCATCCATATTAGGACTCGCATGCATTTGATTGCATGATACTGAGGTTCTAAAGGAATATATTGACATAGCAATGACAATGGACATCAGTTATACTCATCTAGCATACCATTAAAATTACTTTCCTCATCTTAACATTTATTTAAGATAAAAACAAAAGCTCATGCCAAAAACACAAAAAATGTCATACAAACCTCATGTAGTGCAGGAGCATCATTTGTTCCATCCCCAGTTACAGCCACAACATGGTACTTCCTCCTCAATGCTTGCACAAGCAAAAGCTTGTCATTAGGAGAGGACCGTCCCATTACCTATTATATAATATCAACACTTTAATCTCATTTCCCAACCAATTACATCACTAAGGCTATTATAGTAGTTGGATTGTACCGATATCCTTTCAACAATGTCATCTCTCTGTGCATCTGTCAAGGCACGGAATCTTTTTCCTTCAATGATTGTTGGTTCTGTAGCATCAGATAATGAACCAAGTATTCCACATTCCACAGCAATTGCTTTTGCAGTTTTAATGTTGTCACCAGTGACCATTTTAACCTGGGATTAGAAATCCAAACCACACAAATTAATACTTTTCTTAAGTTGAAAACTGCAAATGCAAAGCATACTGCAGTTCTTAACCAAAAATAGTGCTCATTATGCAGGATATTGAAGATCAGATGAGCTATGATAGAAAAATTGACCATTGCATATTCAACATATCACAAGCCATGACATATTATCAAATATTAAAAAAATCAATTCCTATAAATGGTAATACAAGGTACTCATTGAGGTAGTATCTTAAATTTTGTTCCTATAAATTTAATAGTGTGATAAACCCTTTCAGTTCTCAAGGTTTAGCCTT